TATAAATAATAAAATAAACTACTACTTACTACTTGTACTACTATTCCAACTTCACAGTTTTTCACTTATCGCGGGTCTTCAGGGTCCCTGCGATTAAAGAGGGACTACTGTTCTCTAATAGAAACACTGGCTTGTTACAGTTTATGTAACAAAAACTTCACACACTTTACAGATGGTTTTCACCAGATTCAGCCCTGACAAACATGATAATTACATGTTTCTTCTCTTTGTTCCCTTGTTTGCACTCCACTGAGCAGATGGACCAGATGACCACTGTGGCGAACCAGTATGGTAATGAACTGCATACCACCAAGCAGGAAGTAGCCAACCTCAAACAACAGATCAAACACCTTCAACATGAAATTGAGAAAGTATCAATGCAGGTGAGTGGAAAAAGCACAATGGGCTTAAAACCTTTTAACTAACATTTTAAATAACCCAAAATGCAGCAGCAGGTGAGTTGGGCATTCAGCCAGTTTCTTCTTATTCTGAATTTGTTGGAGTCTTCTGTTTGAAATGTGTGGCACACAAGCACAAGTTTACATGGATTATTTTTAATCTTGCACAGCATGAAGGCTTGAAGGAAAGCCTGTTTGAGATGGAAGCCCGCGGAGAACAGTCGGTGTTGGATGCCACAGCCCGCATCAAGGACCTGGAGGAAGCTCTGAAGAAGGCCAAGCTTGACATGCTCAAGCAGATCAAAGAGTACCAGAAGCTCCTGGATATCAAGCTAGCTCTCGACTTAGAGATATCCACCTATAGGAAAATGTTGGAAGGAGAAGAAAACAGGTGAGTTGGACCAGCAGTTGTGAAGACGAGTTATGGCTCAACATTTTCTTTTTTTTTCTTCCTCAGTTCACCTCAGATGTATCTCTGGAGTTAGTGAGTTAGTCATAAAGCATCATTTTGTTGTGTTCCCTTCAGTGACAGATGAAACAAAAAACAGTATTTTCAATCAAAACGTCAACCAGTCTACACATCTAATAATCCATTTATAATAAGCTCATCATCATGTCCTCTGTGACAGCTGCGTTTCCTCGCTGCATAATGTTGCATGGAAGCCATAATAGCTGTCAACCTGTGTAATTTGTAACTGTTTTTCATTTAAAATTTTATGCTTCTATTCTAACACAATTTCTCCACCATTAAATGATTGTTTGAGGTTAAAACTATTCAGACTCATCAGGGTTTTTGTAAAAAAAAAAAAAAATTGTGGTACAAAACAGCAAATGCTCTTTGCCTTGATTTAGAACTAAATATGACAACTAGTTACAGAAATAATCCTCTTCAGAATATGTCTGCGCAAAATCTATTTCTGTCGACTCTCGTCCTTACAGCTTTAAGGTCCACTAATGATGTTGTGGTGGCACATCCAAAAGCTCCAAAGCCATAGTATTTCATGAGTTTAATAATGCTATTGATCATTGTTATGTAGTTGTTTATTCAAAGGGGGTCCCCATTGCTCTCTCAGGGCTTCCTTGAGTGTGAAATTTCCCCCCTCCTAACAAATCATATCACAATCTTGTGTTTCTCTGCTCAAAATATAAACCCCTTGTCCAGAGACAACCTGAAATAAAGAGCAGTGAGAAAATGGTCAACAGCAGCTGAAGAAGCCCTGCGGGGTTGTTTTGAGGCTACAGACTGGGATGCACTGTGCCAGCCACATGGCGAGGACATCAATGCCATGACTGAGTGTGCGACCGACTATATAAACTTCTGTGTAAACAACCCCATCCCCACCAGAACAGTGAGATGCTTCCCCAATAACAAGCCCTGGATCATCACTGACCTGAAAGAACTGCTAAACCAGAAAAAAAGAGCCTTCAGGGAGGGAGACAGGGAATTATTGAGGAGCACACAGAAGAAACTAAAAGTCAAGATAAGAAACAGCAAGGAGGTGTACAAGAAGAAGCTGGAGAGCAAGCTCCAGCAGAATAATACCAGAGAGGTGTGGTCAGGGATGAAACAGATCACAGGCTTCAAGCAGAAGGAGGATCAGAAGGATGGAAGCCTGGACAGAGCCAATGAACTGAACATGTTCTTCAATAGGTTCAGTTCAGGAACAAGCTCAGCATCCTCCTCTCTTGCCCACATCTAAACATACATACCACCCTCCATTGACCCAAGGCTGTCCTGTCACACCTCAAATACTGTATCTACCACCTCAGTCATGGACCCTTCTTCTTCTACATGTTGGTCTTCAACCAACTCAGAACATACTGTTGCCTCTTTTGCCTCCCCACTCTGCGTCTCCAGAAGTCAGGTGAGGAAGCAGCTGGAGAGACTGAACCGGAATAAGGCTGCAGGTCCAGATGGTGTCAGTCCCAGAGTCCTGAGGGTCTGTGCAGAGCAGCTCTGTGGGGTTCTGCAGCACCTCTTAAACCTTAGCCTGACCCAGGAGAAGGTTCCAGTGTTGTGGAAAACATCCTGTCTTGTTCCAGTGCCAAAGAAAACTCACCCATCAATCCTCAGTGACTATAGACCTGTTGCCCTGACATCCCACATCATGAAGGCCCTAGAGAGACTTCTGTTGACCCACCTGACTAGACAAACAAGCACATATCAGGACCCACTGTAGTTTGCTTATCGGCGTGGACTCGGAGTTGAAGAGGCCATCATGCACCTGCTTCAGCAAACTCACTGCCATAGAAGACTACCTGACAAACAGACCACAGTTTGTGAGACTGAAGGGTTGTGTGTCTAACCAGGTGGTCAGGAGCACCACAGGGGACTGTACTCACCATTCCTTTTCACTCTGTACACCTCAGATTTCCAGTACAAAACGGACTCCTGTCATCTGCAGAAATATTCAGATGACTCTGCAGTGGTCGGGTGTATCAGAGATGGACAAGAAGCTGAGTACAGGGAACTGGTGGACCGCTTTGTGGCATGGTGTGGAAACAATCATCTCATCTTGAATATGAATAAAACAAAGGAGATCATTGTAGATTTCAGGAGAAGCAGGAACAGGTTCAACACTATTTCCATCATGGGAGAAGAAGTGGAGGTGGTGAAGTATAAATGTCTTGGGGTTCATCTGGACAACAGACTGGACTGGAAATGCAACAGTGAAGTGTCTACAAGAAGGGACAAAGCAGACTGTACTCCTTGAAGAAACTGAAGTCCTTCAGTGTTTGCAGCAAGATTCTGCATGTCTTCTATAAGTCTGTTGTAGAGAGTGCTACAGTATATTTTCTGCCATCTGCCTGGGTAGCTGCTGGCCTTTCTCTTTGTCTCTTTCCTGACAGCTGCATTTCTAACATCCTTCTACAAATATACCCACTGTCCCTCCTCTGGACATGTCCATACCATCTCAGTGTGGTCTCTCTAACTTTATCTCCCAGTTGTTCAACCTGTGCTGAACCTCTGATGATCTCATTCCCAATATTATCCATCCTTGTCACTCCTAAGGAGAACCTCAACATCTTCATTTCTGTCACTTCCAGTTCTTTCTCCTGTCTTTTTGTCAATGTCACTGTCTCCAGACCGTACTAAGACTTTAGTTAATTTGTTTGTTTGTTTATTAATCCCTGTGGGGACATTTGAGGCATCCAGTAACATATTCTAATGATACAGAAAAAAGACACATGAAATAATTAAAAAGAAGCAGAATACACAAATTTGGAAAAAGACAATATGCACATGCACAAGATGGTACATGATTCATGATGCACAGCAGCTAAACTGGCTTTTTAGCTATCCCACTTGTTCATCTGCTTTCTCACTGACAGACTTGTCCAAGACTCTGCTGTCATCATGCAAGTGGTGCCAACCAAATGTGAGTATAATTCAAGTTAAATACTTTAAACCGTTTTAAACAACTTTATATCTTACTGACCATGCAACGTGCATTCTCTGAGCTGTTACTTTTTGTTATAAAAGCAAAATATATATGTCACAGCCACTGTAAATTATCAGCAGCACTTAAAGTTACACATTGTGCCTTTTTTCTGACAGCTCCTCCATCGGTGCAAGTGGACAGCCATCAGCGGCGAAAGTCAGGCCCAGTTTTCATCAAGACTGTGGAGACCACAGACATATCCTACAACTGAGGCAGAAACCAGGCTGCAAACCTGCTGGTTCCCCACAGGGCCCCCACATCTTACTTTATTATTACTAAATCTTGCATAATCAGCTGTAACATAACTGAACTGATGAGTCATGTTTTGTTTTTCTTTCATACCCCCTACAAGAAAAAAAAGTTTTCTGTGCTAAAAATAAATCTCTTCTCAATGCATCTTTTTTTTTTAAATAGAAAGACATCTACATTTGCACTGCTTCATGAGCTTCACTAAAGACATGTAAAGGAGCAAAGATGTGTAAATAAAACTTAATAGACTTTATCTTAATAGAAGCAGATAATTGAAGACCAGTTCTACTTGCTCATGCTGGCCTAACTAAGACGAGAGAAATCTGAAACACACAAAAAAGAACTTGTAATGTATGATTTTTTTAAACGGCTGCCAGGAAGTAAAACCTTTCAAAAGCAAAATGGATAATAAATAAATCAATAAGCATGTTATATTCCGTTAGTGCTGCATTTTAGTTTAAGATAAGCTCTTGTACATTTGTACAGTGGCTTTATTGTTTAAAGTGCAGCTTTTTTTGTCCCACTAAAGGTAAAACTAAGTACAAAAAACAAACATGTCAAAGTTGTGCAAGAACATTTACAAAATTAAAATGTTGGCTGTTTTATTGATTTATATTTTAAATTAGAAAGAAGCTTTGAAAAATAAATAATTATACAACCACGTTACAGAAATAAAAACAATATGTTGATACTTGTTAAGACAAATTAAAGCCCCAAAAGGAGACATTCACGAGTGAGATGTGGTGAGGATGAGAATCAGCACCTCCAAATCTGAGGCCATGGTCCTCAGTCAGAAAAGGATGGATTGCTGTCTTTGGGTCGATGGTGAGGTTCTACCTCATGTAAAGGAGTTCAAGTGTCTCTGGGTTTTGTTCACGAGTGATGGAAGAATGGAATGTGAGATTGACAGATAGATTGGTGCAGCGTCTGTAGTATTGTGGACTCTGTGCCGGTCTGTTGTGGTGAAAAGAGAGCTGAGCTGTAAGGCAAAGCTCTCTGTTTACCGGTCGGTCTATGTTCCTACCCTCACCTATGCTCACGAACTCTGGGTAGTGACCGAAAAAATGAGATCATGGATAGAGGCAGTTGAAATGAGTTTCCTCTGCAGGGTATCTGGACTCTCCTTAGAGAAAGGGTGAGAAGTTAAGTTATCCAGGAGAGACTCAGAGTAGAACCGCTGCTCCACATCGAGAGCAGCTGTTGAGGTGGTTCAGGTATTTGGTAAAGATGCTCCCTGAGGGACTCCCTAGGGAGGTGCTTCAGCCATGTCCGACTGGGAGGAGACCCCAGGGAAGACCCAGGACACACTGGAAAGATTACATCTCGCAGTTGGCCTGGAAACGCCTTGGGGTCCTCCCAGAAGAGCTGGAAGAGGTGGCTGTGGGAAGAGATGTCTGGACCTCCCTGCTCAAGCTGCTGCCCCCGCGACCCGACTTCAGAGGAAGAGGAAGATAATGGATGGATGGAGAAGATATTCATAAGAAATATATATATATATATATATATATATATATATATGTGTATATATATGTATATTTAAAGACAACATTTATATTAGTCTATTTTTTATCTTAATAACTTGTTTTATTTAGCAAAATAGGCTTTAATTAAGGAGTTTGTGCCATAATCATCAGCAGTTTTCCAAAGGCAAACTTGGTAAAAAAGATTTCTAAACATAAAGATACTATCACTGTGTTTAAAAA